TTGAGAATGCTCCTTCAAAAATCAAAGAAAAAATAAGTTGATTTGGGTTAGGGGTTTTTTGTTTGTTTGTTTTGGGTGGTTTTTCTTTTTTTTTTTTTTGTGTTGGACAAAGGAATAGAAGAAAATAAAGGAAAGGAGAAAAGTAAGACAGCATAAATGGAAACTAGCCAAACAAAATCTAGTCAAGAGAGTCAAGGGGAAGAGGCTTAGCAGTTTGAGGTATATAAAATATAGGCAGTCTGAAGTTTATAAATTGTAATTTATCTGAAAGACATACAGTAATTTAAAATACTTAAATGAAATATAGTTCAAATGTAACACGTATTAAATATTGTTGAAGAATGTCAGTGAAGGAAGAAAAAAGGAGAGAAACTAAAAAAGAATGAAACTCATTGCAAAGCCTTCTGTTGAAGTAGCAAGAGGCATATCATGAGCTCATAAAGGAAAAATATATCTATATTAATAAACTTACAGGGGAAATATTTCAAGAGTAAGAATTTTAATAATTGTTATAATCAATAATCAATATCACTTTCATTGTTGAGAAAGATTTTTTTTTTAATGGACCTACTTATGGTATATATTGATGTACTGATTAAAATAACTTACTGAGCCTTGGCCCAAGACTTGGATGGCATTTCATCCTGGTAATTCTGTTACTGCACTGGAGCTTAGAATAAGTAAGTTTAAAGAACCAGTTGGTTTCCTTTCAGAAAGGAAATAGAAATGCAGACAGACTAAAAGAGAGATCATTCAAACCAGACATTTTCTTTATTTAATGCCCAGGAAAGTTCCAGTCTGTCTCAGAATAGAATGGTTAGAAAGAAGATTGACTTTATCCTCAAAATTACAGAAGCATTCAGAGCCGAACTTGCTGGACTCTGGCATTCTGCAGGGTATGAAAACACAAGCTGTAAACTTGGAAAGTTTGAAAAGGAGAACCTGGATGTCAGTGGTTACCTCTGAGGGAAGTAGAAGAGTCCAAATTTGAATGTGAGATCTAAGTTTGTAAGGTGCTGGTGAAATTACTTGACTCGCTGGAGGCCTTGGATACACTCAGCATGCTGCAAGTTCAGCCTAAATTATCTTGATTTTCAGATTTGAAGCAGTATGGATGGTGAGATAGGTAGTGCAAAGAGTGAGATTAAGTATAGAAAGGCATGTTTTAAGATTAACTGGTGCAGTGGTTCTGGCTGGCACGGCAGAAAATAGGTAATATTTGAATGAAGATTAAAAGATGGGTAAAAAAAGATAAATGTTGTTTAAACAAAACATGAGCAGCAGGAAATATGTTTCATAGTAAGATTTATTTGCGTAAAAGGCTACTTGAAGTGCTTTGTCTGAATTCAATTGCTTATTTATTGATTACTAAACAACAACTCAATGTGCTTTAAAGCAGTACAGGATTGTTTTCAGCATGTTAAATTACCAAGAAATTTACTGACTGAATTGGCTCTAGAAGTTATGTGTACAAAAAATATTTGAAGCTGGGAAGTACCAACAACGATAACAATATCCAGATGAAGATCTGCAGGAAAGGCAATGATATAAAGCATTATTTGGAAAGTAAGGGTTTGAAGAATGTGAAATGAAGAAAACGCTCCCCCTTGCACAGTATGAATAGCAATTCTCATGGGGATTCTGCAGGCAGGTAGTTTTAATAAAAACCATATGAATTCAAACACAGGTAAGAGACTGATTCTCTTTAATTTGATTTAGAATAAAAATTATAGATGTGACACAAACTTAAATAATTAAGGAAAAAATGTATCTGAAATACTAAACCCTAGACAAAAACTGAAAAAAAAAATGGCAGTTTCTCTGTGGTCTGTTAATGGTGGAAACAACTGGTTTTCCCTGCTCTATCTGCTTTTGAACCCAAAATATTTTCAAGTGATTATAGTTGTGTTGTCTTATGAGAGGCTGAGGGCATGCTTAAAAGTGTAGCACTGGGCACCCCAAAAATTCTGTCACTGTGGCTTTGCCTCCTCCCCCTGCAAATTTTAAGCTGATTGAGGTATGTGCAGAATCAATGGGAGCTCTGATTTCATTCCATGTTTAGTCTGATGGCATTCAAACCTTTATCTCTCAGCATGCCCAAATCAGTAGACTTTATCAGCTTTTTTGTTACAAGGACTGGAAAGACTTTTACCACTTTTCTTATTGCATCAGGTCACCATGTAGCAAGAATAGGTGGTACATGGAACAGAAGGAAAAAGCAAAAAAGAGTGAAAACATTACTTAGTGGAGAGAACACATGCTGGGAAGCAAGTCCTGGAGAGCTTGGAGTCTGATACAAAGACAGTGCATTTTAATTAAAATGGTTGTTTTACCAAAGATTAAGTCCAAGCACTCCCCAAACAAACAAAACCAGCCCAATGGTAATCTGAAAATCCTGCTTTAATCTTTGTTTTATCTCAGTTTGACTAACACTTCTCTTCCTGATCTGTTCAATTTCTTCTCAGTGTTTTGGTTGTCAAAATACAGAGATGACAAATGACTTCTTTGCAAAAAAGCCGGCAGAAAATCTGTGTACGGCTGATGCATCGAGCAACATGTGGGGAATGTTAATAGCTCTGTCACCCTCTCAGTTGGGAAAACACTTCTCAGAGGTAACTCCTTTTCACAGAGATGAAACATTGGCTTAAAACCACCACTAATCCACTTCATATTTTTACTTGTTCTATCTCTTGTGCACACTTTTTAGATAAAAGTTGTAAGAGCCAAATTTTAGGCAGTAATGTAAGAATAAAGGGTATTTTAAACCAAGTAAAGCTGTAGAAAATATAGGACAAAACCACACATAGCTTAATGAAGTTGTCCATGTCCATTAAAAAAATCAGTCCAGTTCTCCATATTCAGTATAAACTTTGCACTAATAAAATAAGAATGTCTTCCATGACATTATTAACTGCTGTTGTTGATAGTCCCAATTTTCACTAAGCTTCCAGACATCCTGCTGGCCTTCATATAGCTATGATTTTCTAAACTGATTATTTTTCTTTAGTTCCAAAACCTGTTTCAAGTTAGCACAATAAATAAGATGATTTCCAAGTAAGTCAATATCCAGGTTTGATTAATATGCAGCAACTCTTAGATCAAAATTCCTATAAGTTAAATTCTCTGTGTCTGAGGAAGCAGACAACTGAAGAAAGAGGCTGAACACAGAAGTTTTTATTTTTTCTGAACTGTTAGTGATTTCTTGTACATTTCTTCAATCGGTGTTCTTATTTTGCTTGTGTTAGTATAGCCTACCATCCATTTGTATTTATTAACAGGCTGTTCATGTAAAATTAAAAACTTGTGGTAATGCAATACATGTGATTAACAACTTAAAAAAACTGTGATTAAGATTAAAAATAATGTATTTTTGCACTTTTCCTTGACTGCATTGCCAAACTCTCCATTTGTGATCTCTGTTGACTGAATCTTGTCATGAGAATGTAAGAATGAAAATGTGTTGAGTATTGCTGGGTGATTATTTTTAAACCAAAATCTCCCTAAATTGCTGAAGCATTACGATAAAACAGTGGGGGTTTAAGCATTACTGCCTGTAAATATTTAAATACAGAGAATTTTGTGGGAAGGATATCACTTCAGGGATTATGCAGTTAGAGACTGTGCATTTGGAATCTGGAATGTCTACTATGACAGCAAGATAAAAGCACAAGGAGTCAGAGTAAGGATAAAATGGGGTAACCAATCCAGGAAACTGTTTTGCCCTTTAGCCTAAATCAATATCTAGGGAAAAATACTAGAACAAGGCAACATGCAGTGAAACTCCTACCCTCCACTGATTCACAATTTTGATACTTTGGTGACCGGAGGCATTTTTTTGTCAGGTGGTAAGGCTGCCCTCAGACCTTCCAGCACCGGAGTTCAGTGGCAGAGAGGAGCATTTCCCACACCTAAAGTAGATGGAATCATGAAGCATTTCAGGCAAATGGAGGTACACAAATGTTTGGGACCACGTGGGATACATAGGAGGGCGGTAGGGGAGCTGCACTGTGGCGTTGTGAGGCTGTTCTCAATCACATTAGAAAGATTAAGGAAAATGTCTGAGTTTAGTGGCTGAAAAAGGCAAATAGTGCATCCATCTGAGAGGGCCATGAGCTGTGGACATGCACATTAAAGGACAAGTTGACAACTGGGAATGGTCTGCATAAATTTACCATCATCATGCCTGATCAGTCTGATTGCCTTAATATCACCTATAAACTGTGTTCTTACTGTCCACCCCTTCTCCTGCTCATTTAGGGAAAGGCTGAACACTGAGGGTTCTGGGACAGATTGCATCAAGGTTTCACATATGGTGCCACTCCACTGTCAACTGGGCGTTCCTGCTCATGTCCCTCTTCTGCTTTTTGTGCAGGTATAAAGAACTTGCCTCTCTTTCCATGGCAGTTTAGTGTTTAAAGGATTTTGGATGAGGCTCCTAATTTACAAACATTTAGAAAATACCAGATCACCCTGTTTTTCCTTGACTAGGTTCGTGTTATTTTTTTAAAAAAAGAACTCCCAATAGATTTCTGAAGCTTACCTTACAAGAATCTTCCTTTTCCTGCAAGATGCCATATTTATCATATAGTATTTATTCACCTACCCACAGATTCTCTTCTCAAGAATAGAAGTGATAGAGATACAAGTCAGATACCGGCTACCACTTAGTTCTTTTATAGTGAGGAGCTTTTGAGAGACCTCTGTAAACCAGAGTTCAGTCATGTTCCTCTGTGCATGAACACAGGCAGTTCCTGGTCATTCACTTCTATCAATTTTGTCTATAGGTTCCATAATTTCATCTGCTGACACTTCCTTTCATCGAGGCTCTTGAGCCACTTTCCATGCCAGTTCTATTTTAGGATGAATGGAGCCTGATCACCCTGCTAAGGTATGTTCTGATTTTGGTATTTTCTGAGAAAATTGAAATGTATATGCCAGGGAAGAGAAAGGAAGAATGCAAATTGCTGCAAAATCTGCATGGATGATGAATTTTCAACACATTTTTTATTAACCATAATCCTTTATTAGACCTCACAGAGGTGTAAACTATACATACAAATACATTAGAAAGGTACCCTCTTAACAGTAATGCTTCACATTTTGGACCTGATACCAAGAGGGTTGCAAACATTTCAGTACATTCTACAAACCAAAGGGTGCATTAGCCTTTATGTATACAGAGTGACAAAGCCCTTTACTGAAATCAAAGTAGATAAAAGTGAAAATCAGTCAACTACCTCTTCCAACCTTTACCTACCATAAATGCATATAAAAGCCTTTAAAAGCATGAATACACTATTATTTATGGAGCAAAGTTTACTGTTCTAGACAGCTCATAGAGAGAGGGGAAGAGAATGGTCAAGATGGCATTACATGAACTGCAAACTAGCAAAACGTCTTGATTTTTTGTATTATTTGTACATATCAAGAGCTCCATTTTTTGATTTATTGGTTGTTACTAGAAAAGCTTATAAGTGCTAGATGGGGAGAATAGCGCAACAAAGACATTGTTGAGGTATTTGGGGGATTCTGCAACACAATGATGTTACATACACAGTATGAAATATTATTTGTCATCAAGTAGTGACATTGTATTATGAGTAAGCACGAGAAAATAAAAAAGAAAGAATAAATCCAGTTAGAACTTTAATAGATATTTAAATGGTTTCTAGTAAATGAACACTTAACACTTGTCACTGTTTGGTTATAATGACTTGAAATGTTAATAGTAGGATTATTCAGTAGTGAAATCAGAAACTCATGTATCCACATTCATGCTTTGCATTATGGAAACCCCAGTTTTAGTCAGGATACAATTGAGGTCCAACACTGAAGAAAAGAGGACAGTTACTCTATGGAAAGGCTGCCCTGAAAAGCAAGTGCTACTAATCTCTTTGTTTAGCATTCTGGGTGGCTTCACAATAATTTGGGAGAAAAGAAAGCTTATACATGATTTGATTATCAGCAGCAGGTGGTGCTGCTTCTACTTTCATTTTGTTTCCTGACATTCTTAGTCTTGATAAACATGTTTAATATTCAAACCTAAGACTCCAAGGATTAAGAAACTGTGAAACAACCATCACATTCTGACAAAAGCAATGAGAGGTGTCAGACTACAGGTGAAGCTGTTCAGAATATAATAAAGTACCAATCTGCTTTCAGTGGAGCATTTTATGACTCATGTCTGATGAGACTTAGTTTAACCAGGCAACTATTATCATTATACACTTTTGAGAATTATTTTTTTTCAACTTGTTCAGGATTTCTATAGAATTCTGTTGGACTAATTCCTTAGAAATGGTAATAAATGAAAAGATAGGAGTTATACATTGTATCATGCACTCACTTGCATATGTTGTATTATATTCAAACTTGTCTCTAAGGGGAAATAATGGAGAGAACCATGATTCTTATTCAGTATTTATATCAATTGCATTTGAAATTCTAGTGTAAAAAAAAAGGGATATAATTCATTGCTGTGCGCAAAGTAAGGATGTTTTACCTCTTAATTGATAACACTTTAGTCTGTTGGTTTCGGATCCTTTGTCTTCGATCATTGTTGAAATTAGAATTTTTTCACACCATAAGTCAGGTTAATGCCAGTAAACCAGAAAGAGTGGAAAGTTAATTTGAGTTTTAAATTTACAAAGTTAAATATTTCACTACAAAATAAGAGTTTAATTTAATCAGTTGTTTATATAGTTATCTGGATAAACCTTTTTCTTTAACATGAGTATGTGAAGCATTCCAATTGGTCAAGTTAGAGTCCTTTTTGTTCTGCAGGTATTTTATTGCTGCTTCAGAGGAATGAAATTATACTAATGAATGAAAAATACAATAAAATGCAGCACCTTTGATTTAGTTAAAAAATGGTGTGAAAAATTATCTCTCAACTGTATTTGTCCTTGTTTCTTAAGAACTTCAATAATGTGTGAATATGTAGATATTTTAGGTGGGTGTATGTTTAATACTTGTACCAAAGGATGTTTAGCAGCAGAAGTATCACATTGGTGCTTTTTATGACTTGTGTGCCAAGATGGCAAAATAAAAAGTTACTGAACAACACAGAGAAATCAAAAATTAGTATAAATAATTTTGGGTATAGGAATTTGCTAAGCCTTTTCCACTTCTGATATAGTTAAGAGTGCTGTAGAGGGGGATGAATTATTCTACAAAAAACATATAAATGACAAATTAATAGTTGAGGTGATGACAGAAATTATCATTCTGCTCTGTTTATATTACCTATTATTCTTACTTTGAAGAGATGTTTACACTTTAAAAAATGACACTTAACAGAAGTTTTATGGAGAAAAATGAAATAGAAGATAAAATTTTAATACAGGTTTTTATAATATGGCCCTCAAAGTTAGTATTTTATATCTGATAAATATATTTGCCTGATGACAATGAAGAGGTGTCTTATGGTTTAAATATCTGGTCATTTCTTTAGGTATGAAAAATAATGACCAGACCTAAATTGTGACATCCATATTACACAATGTTCTTCTAAAATTAGATTCCAGTTGGATTACTGAGCATAATCCATAAGATCTGAAGAGAAAAAAGCAAGCATTTCAAACTTTACTTGACAGGAAAAAGAAAAGCATAATATACACATGCACATAGACATGCACACACTGTAGCACTGTCTATACCCATATATGTGTACATGTGTCTGTAGATGTGTATATATACACAGCCACGCCCTTTATGCAGCCTAGGGTAAGATTTCCTAATGTAACCATCAGGGAGGTCCTTCCTATTTTGGCCCCTGCCAGAATGGCATCTCTATACTCTATGATGTGAAATCAAATTTCTGACATTCCCATAACACGCTTTGACTTTTTTTTTTTTTTTTTTTTTTTTACAAAATGAAGATTTTTATATATCAGATACTGTGTGTTTGGGTGTTTATAGTCCAGGAGAATATTCCAATGCTGTCAGAAGCAACATGTTTAGTGTAGGATTAGAATGGGTAACAACTCTGTGTTGAAATCTTTCTTTCCTTCTTTCAAGACAAATTTAATCTAGTTGCTTTACTGAATGTCACTTCCACACATTAATTGGATAATTAGTAATCTCATTAAGAAAAATTCTTTATTTTATGCGGATTGTACCCATGAGAAAAAAATATCACTCATCTCCTCCTCCTTATCCCTTGCCCCCAGAATCAAAACAAAGTGAATAAAAGCAAAACAACCCTCCCAAACAAACAGACAAACAATAAAATTATGTTGCAACAGTCTTTTAACTAAGTTTGCTGGGTGGAGCAGGACGGAGGAAAAATGTTGGTTTTCAGTAGAAGTTGGGTGTTTGGAAGACTAATTTCCACTGACCAGTATCCTAAAAAGAGGGACCAGTATAAGTAGACCATCCCAAATAAATTATTACTATTCCTTTTCAGACTAAAAATAAAGCATTTAAAATATATTGATTATACCTTCATCAGAACAACATAAGTATTCTATTTGGCTTATAGGTTCCAAGAATCTCTTTTTGGGCTTAACTTAGCATAATTTCAAAACAAAAAAAAAAAAGAAATGTGAAATTTTGCACATAAGGATGCTCATAGTGACCACATAAAGTAATAAAAGAAAAATAATTCACAGACAGTTAGCCATATATTTCAACTTTTTCTCACAATTTGGAATGGGTGAAAATTTAAAAAAACAACAATTTCCTGTTTGGAATATTTTTTTCATTCCTTGTTCAATTCAGATGTGCTTGCATCTTTTGTGGGTTTTAAAACATTAAGTTTTCGATTATATGCCATGAGTAAGAAAGTAATCAGGTAAAACTAAAAATGTGTGCACAGTAAAAATCTCAATCACGTCATGCCACTGACCAAGCCAAACTCTACTCTGATTTCAGACTAGAGTGTGGCTTAAAAATCTCTCGTATGATATTGGACTTGCATGATCTGAAAGGCTTTCAGTCACATCAAGGCTTTCAGTTCCCTGACTACTAACACTTTTCTTCATCTGAATTTCTGCCTTGGAACAAGGATTCAGGATTTCATTTAAAATCTATGACTTTTTGTGCCATTTTGACTCTTATTCCTGCCCCACCTGTATCTATATAAGATTTCTTTGCTGTTTTTTGAGTGACAAAAAGTTGAAAAGTTATGGCTAGTTTTATTTCTATCTTAATAACCATACCTATGTAATTGTCATTTTCATACATTAAAAAAATATTTATGCTTTCTTTTATATTTTAGTCAAGTACTTTCTTAAACAAAACAATAGCACCACTTTGGCATTGTTGGCCAAATCAGTAACAGGTAAAGAAAATATGCAAATACACTTTTCTGATCTTGTCATATCATGCACTTTCTTGTTGAATGGAGAGCCAAGAAGACAAAGTGCTTGGCCTGAGGTCTTCATTTGTCAGATTTAATCATTGGTACTGAGAGAACAAGGAGCTCTGGGGCAACTGAGCATGGCTTCTTGTTGTGTATGGAATTCAATTCTGTAAAGAAAGCTGACCACTAATTCACCCTTCAATCTTACCAAAGGGATGTGCAGGGTAAGCTGCCTTGGGAAAAAAGGGGGCTATTTTCATGCATCCACCAGGACTGGATGCAACATCTCAGGTTTTGATTTTCTTGTCTCTCTTGGCTGAATGGTGCAAATAAGCTCATACAAGTCCTTCATGGAAATGTTGGTTTATAACTACATTTTCAGCAGAATAAAGAATTTATTGATTTTCCATTTAAACTCTTAATGACTAATTATGTTTACTATGGAGATGACACTTAAATTTTGCTACCTTGATGAAGGAGGGATACTAACTGAAGTGGCTTTAGATGTGCAGTGCTTTTTGGACTGACTGAAAGTAATGAGGCTTAATTCACTTTTTAAATTATGCATTCCAGTGATATTCTGTGTAATAGTTGGAATTTTAGGTATATTCTAGAAAGCAGAGATCTTTGATCTCTGTCATGTGACGTACACAATAGGGAAGGGTGAGAAATGTGCTTTTGTTTACCATTTCAGTGATTTATGAGAATCAATGGCATCTGGTGGGAGCCCTGTTCCTAAATATCTGGAGTGCTTTTAAAAATCCAGCTGAACATTTCAATTTCTCTAATTAGAAGTTTTTCAAGACAGACTGCTTTGTACTTTTGGGAGGGAGATGCTTTGGCTCATGTTTCAACTTCTTTAAGTAGCGGATTTATTGTGATTATTAAGCTAAAGCAGCCCTTTATCTTTCGTACTAACTGGTTTACCATGTGCTCCCTGCCAAATGACTGGAGATTTCTTATCCAAAGTGCATTCCCCACCCATGCATTTCTCACCTCTATGGGGCTGGAGCTACTTCCCATTTTGTAATATCATTTATTCTCTAGTAAAGCAAAGTGCTGACTTTGAAGTTTGCAGCTATTCAGTATTTATTTTAGTTGCTTTCAAGAATTGTTCCAATTTGTTTAGACAGTTGTCAAATTGTGATAAATATTTCTGTCTCTGAGTGACACTTCCTAATTATGGTTTTTCAACAGGAGAATTATGGTGTGTGAATCCCAAGATAAGACCAAAAATTTGAATTAATTTGCAGGAATTAATGCAAAATGATGTATAGTTATTCAGTTAAAAGCACATCAGTAAAAAACTTGTCTACAAAGAAACTTGCTGTCACAGATGTCTCAAATTGCTTGATACACTCACACCTTTCTTCCCTCTTCCCCTTAGAACTTCAGAAGAGACAGGGGACAGAAAGGGTCATGGGGCTTGAAATGGAAATCTGTATTATGTCTGTGACATCAAAATAATGGCTTATTCTTAGATTGCGTTGCAGAATTCTTACAGCCACTAAAGTAAAACTCCTTCCCTCTCCATCCCCCCTGCCAAAAAAGGCCTGTAGGAGCTGTGACAGGTATCAGAATTGCTAACTCTTTTATTAGATTGGTGGTAAATAATTTAGATTAGTTTCTCCATCTGTTTCTCTTTACTTTCTTCCTTTTTCAACATAACTATCTCAGTCAATGAGAGCTGTGACATATTCTTTTTATTCATTTACTGTTCTACTTTTACATTGCTATGGCAGCTTATTGTGCATATAGACATCCATCTCACAGAAAGCAGAGGGTTTAAAGAGTTGTATAGGAATACATTGCACTTCTTAAAAATACAAACCACAAATTTTCTATGGGAATAGAAAAGGAGCTACAATAATTTGTTAGACTTTTATGACCTTTCCTGCTTTTTTCACAAGGGACTGTTGAGGAGCTTGATATGCAGTCTGGAGAGAACTTTCTCTTGTGTTTAAGTCAATAGTTATTCACTATTTTTTTTTTGCTTTTAGAGCCCTTCCTTCTCCAGAAGGGATACTGCAGTAGAAAGTAAGGCAGATTTGAGCAGCTTTCAAAAAGAGATTCTTTCTTTATACATCTAATCTGCCACCTCCCTAACTGCTCCCTTCATACACTGTTTTCCAGGCTCCCTTTGGAACTGTCCAAGAAATGCTTCATCCCTTGCCTGAGCCTGCCACATGAAGCATGGTGAGGGGAAAAATTTGAATGGGACTGCATTGGAGTTCTTGGACAGGGTGGAACAGTCCCTTCCTCTTCCTTCCCTTCTCTCACAGACAGGTTTGATCATTGCCTTGGGACACTGTTGGCTGCTTATCCCCCTTCGCTGCTTGGCCAATCTACACTGGAACAGTCCCTTCCTCTTCCTTCCCTTCTCTCACAGACAGGTTTGATGATTACCTTGGGACACTGTTGGCTGCTTGGCCAATCTACAGTGGGCTGATTTACAAAAATGCAGCAGAGGTGTTATTCAAGGAAGAACCACTGCAGGGCCTATCAAGGTTACATGGCAGGGATTATCTGGGCATCTCTGACTCCCACAAGAGTGGGTGAATGGCACATTTAAGTGAGGGTGTAAGGATGTTATGGTTAATCTCTCCTCGAGGACTCATTCTACACTAGTAGTTTGGTGATTAGACTAGCTTTTCTGATTTGGAGAGATGCAGCCCAGCTCACAGTCAGGTAAGCCATGTCTGGCTGTGGGAAGAATTAAAATGGAGGGGAGCTTGAGTACCCCTTTATGATTGAACAGAATGCTGATATTTCAGGAACATTTAGGCACTGGTGGACTACTCTTTGAAGTCACTTGTTTTCCAAATTGTTTTTCAAATTGTCTCTCTGGGCCTGAACATGAGTTTGCATTCCACACAATCGGATGTCAAAACACCACCCTCCAAGCATCTAAAAGGAAACAAGTATTTTCTCTTGAAAATGGTAAAGTTATTTTCATGTTAAAATCTGAAGTAATTTTAGTTGATTTAAGCTGAATATTTTTGAAATTTGTTATTTAATCTTTGGCTTGGTCTTTCCATATTTGCTTTTACCTATTACCGTTTTGGCCAGACCCTTTCATGTAACAAACTATAAAATAGCACCGTTGTACTATAAAACAGAGATTTTTTACATACTGTTTGATATATGTGTATTGTTGATATGCTAAATTTTACATACTGCATTATATGGAGGAAGAAAGAAGTTACCTATACTGTTACAAAATAATTACCTGGAGGAATCATTACTGGTTTGAGAGCCTATGTATGCTTTAACTGCTTTTAAAAATCTTTTGTCTCACAAATTGCAAAAAAAATTTGCATGTTTGCAAGAGAAGGAAGAATAAAACTGTCTTAAAACAAATGCATGTATAACCCATATTTTGTCGAAATGCCACAGATGGAATTAATGGATGTTAAAATTGTATATGTTACCTTACTGCTGCTGTTACTGGGAATGTCAAACTGTGCAAATATGAAGGGGTAGACAAACGATGTTTTCAGACACTGTAAAACAAACAGCCTGTTGCTTTTAAAGAAGTGCAAATAAAAAAACCCACCACTTAGACAAGGCTGATGAATCACTCCAGCAGCCAGTGTTCATAGGTTAATTTAGTGCAATTGGATCCATCAAAGGCCCAAAAAATTTGTAGGCTTTTGAGGGGCACAGGACTTTAAGAGTTTTTGTGCAGGACATTTAAAACAGGTTAACAAACAGCAATATATCAACCACAGAATTTTTTAGCTCTGGTCTGGTTAAAATGTTCTGTTCTCTAAAGACTTAATATTGGAATGTTTAGTTGCATTGTTCACTGGGAGAATGCCCATTGGTTGAAATTGCATCAAGCTTTTTAAAACAAAGGTTTTTTTAAGTCTTCCAATGTTTAACAAATAATTTATTTACAGCAAAGTATCCTGCAGATGGCACATTCATTCTTCATTCTTGTGGATGGCATGTTCTTACATTCTGTAGTTTCTGTTTCCTGTGTTCCCTCTACTTGTGTTCTTCAAATGCACTTCCTGAAAGTTTAGAAAGAAAAATTTGTTACAGGTAGGTTTAAATACATTGTGTGGTCACAAAACTTGTAATAGCGAGAAAACAGTTGTCCAGAGTGTTGAACTTCTAGATAATTGTGTTTTAATCAATAATTCAGTTATCTACAGAGAACTTAACTATGCAGAACTTCTGTACCTGAAATACCCTGCTCTCCTAGACATAAACATTTTGACTGTTGTCATTCTTGATCTTGGCAGAAGAGACATCTGCTGCTGGAGCCTGGATGGGCTTAGGGATACAGCAGGTACCAAAGATTTCCTTTCTTTCCCAAAGATATTTAGAAAAGGAGGATGTAGAGGGGCCAGGGAACTTTCGAGTTGTAACTGCAGGATTTATGTAATCTCTTGGGCTTTGGTACCAGGTGTTTTCAAAATTGCTCTGCTAACTACATATTGCACAGATGGCACAATAGATTCCTTGGATAAGACCTTGAGGAGAAAAAAAATTGTGGGCTTGCTGTAGGAGCTGCAGCCATATAATTTGTATTCTCAAAACAGACAAGGTGATGTGCCAGGCAAATCAAGGGAGCTTTGGAGTGAATAATGCCCTCAGTTCCCTGTCATTCCACACACAGACCAGCATCAGCAGCAGTGATGGGGGTGGTGTATGCATTTCAATTTGATTTCCTTGTTTGCCACTCTAGTAAATATCAGCCAGGCCCAAGACTGCATATTCTGTATCAGACCAAAGCCAGAATTTTTAAGTGACTCTCCATATTTTTAATACTCATCAGAAGTCAAATACTTAGTTCAGTGAAATTATGGGTTTTTTCTAAGAAATGAAAAAACCAATGTGTGTAAAAGGTGAAGCCATGTGTATGCAGCTCTACCACTGCATTAGCTATTATTTAAGCCCAAAAATGAGTCTCTACAATTTAAAGTAATAACATTTTCTTGCTTTTCTAATGGACAGAAATAAAGTGGAAGCTAATTCAGTGCATTGGTTTTGTGGGGGTTTTTAGTGATTTCCCATAAAAAATACTCTTCTACATATAACCTTTCCATTTCCCTTCAGTATCTATTAAAAATAAAATCAGAAATTAAATTTAAATTAAAACAAATCAGAAACTTTCAAAGGATCACAAAACTTGAACTCATAGAGAGCTTATTAATTTTCACTGGATTTGTATTGGCTTCTGATGGATGTGAGAGGAATTCTTATTTTAAGTATGCAAAACAAAAATTAGGCAGTACTAGTAATTGTTAACTTAATTATAGCACCACCAAGTATAAAACATTGAGCCAAACTAGGATTTATCAACACTGACAAGCCAAAGTTGTTAACAGCAAAATAGTCATAATGAAGAGATGTTTTTGTAAGGAATATGCCATTATAGACTAGATTAATCATCTAGTCACTATTTCTGTGAACAGTTCAGAAGGATACTGGCTTGTCCTTATCCAGCTTTGCTAATATTGCTGTAGAATAGCATCAATCAAGTACAGAATCAGAAATGTCAACAGAATTCTTCTTATCCTTAAATTAGAATATATTTTGCTTTTCATTGCCTGTTTCTCTTCCAGCTTTTCCAAAATGACCTTTGCTGCCTTCACTTTTTCCTAAGTTATACATTAGTTTTCACCCTGAAGAGCTCATTTTGGGTGAAGTCTTAAATTTTCACTGATTAAAATCATCATTGCAGCATTTCACAGGAGTCTGCCAACACTAAGGATCCTGCCTTATTCTACAAGTGCTTATATTGGTTACAATGAGCTAAGAAAACTGGAATTTCTTTACTCATATGCCCAGTTTTTTTTTTTCTACACAGCAACAAAACAAAATATTCTCCTCAGTGCTGACCCTAGGTGCTCCTCCTTGAAGAGAGTTTACCAGCATACAGGAAAAGCTCTATGCTTTATTTTATTTGCCAAAAGTCATATATTCTTAAAGATTACAAACTCCTGATCCATAAAATAGACAGTGAGAGACTTAAAATGAAACAACAGCCATTTTGCATTGCAGTGACTTTCAAAGTCTATTTATATTGAAAATTAACTGTATATTTCTGAAATGAAAATATAAATTCTCTGTGCTGCTGTTGTCGTCTGACTTTGAAATGGCTTTATCATTCAAATAAAGCAGGTACTAAGATGCAGGTGTGTTTCACTTACAGATTTTAATAATGACATATAGGTGGAAAAAGAGTTGTCATGATGCAACTAGCTTTGAAATTTAAGGAAGACAGCAGGTTGCTTTTAGAACACTTCTTTCTCCAGAATCAGCATTTTGATACATTACTACCAATAAGTGGTACATGCATGCCAGAAAATGCTTTTCCCCACATAACACATTTTTTCAAGCATGAAATAGTAAGACCACTGGGGGGAAAAAAACCACAGACCCCACAACCAGGTGTGAATGCTTGAATTAGGTTCTCAGACCTGCGCTTGTACTGGTGTAGGAAAGTTTGGTTTGGTTCTCAAGTCTTTGAGAAGAAGGCAATCAGAAATAAAACTGCTCTGAGCTGACATTCAGGCTCAGAGAAAGGCAATCATAATTTTAAGATGAGAGATGCAAAATGTGATCAATTTATAAGTTAGCTAAAGAACAGGAAAGCAGATTTCCATCACCTTCAGCATGGCTCTTTGGAGATAAGGCAGTGTTAGCAGTCGGATTACAACTGCCTCAGTAATGGTCATTTGACTGAGCTGGAAGGATGCTGGGAAGCAAGCAGCAGCATTCTTATCCCATTAGGGCAGACATTCAAACCTCATATTGGCATTGAAAGTTCTCTTGCTCTATTGGTAATAAATGGAAAGTCTAATGTTTGTAGTAACAGGCATGATACCTTAGCTATGAATTCTCTGGGGTCTCTGAAAGCTTTCTAGTTCTGTGGGCAGTGTGATCACTGACATAAAAACAGGGCTGCAAAGCAATTCTCTGAAAAAGCCAAGCCCTTCTATCTGTTACACCTAAAAGTTCACTCATTGGCTTGGTAATGTGGCGTGGTTTCAACAGAAATTAAGATTGGTGCCGTGGTGCATATTTTGGCCTGTGAATGTATCTGAGTTGATACTGAGCCAATTACAAAAGAATCTGCCAGTCTTAGAAAAATTAATGAGAAATAATGCAATACTTCTTCTGTTTTCTTAATGGCATTTTCTGAAACTAAAAATACCAATATCTTTTCCCTTTCTCTCTTAGTCCCACTCAGTATTTATTTAAATTTTGAAGATTAGATAAAATATGAAATGTGTTTTTGAGAAAGTCCACCTCCTATTCATACTTTGTTGGTATATATATTTATGTGTATTTTTCTTATATAAGGTCTAAAGAAGAAAAAGGACTGTAAATCTGAGGAAGAGCAAAATTATGTCTAGATATGCACCTTTTTTGCCATTTTGCTCAGGTTGTGAGGGGATGACATGACACTGTGTTCATGAACAAGTTCAAGTTGTGCCAGGGCTGGTATAGATGGCATGGCAGGAAAACTTTTTTACACAGAAAACATTGTCAAGCCCTGTAAAGGGCTGCCTAAGGAAGTTGTGGAGTCATTATCTCTGCAGTTATTTAAAATATATGTAGATGTGGCACTTACAGACAGGATTTATTGGTGGACTTGGCAGTGCTGAGTTAATGGCTGGACTCAATGTTCTTAGAGTTCTTTTCCTACCAAAATGATTTTGTGGTTCTTTTTTACTAGATTTTAAAATCAGCCTTACCAGCCTTTACATTCAGTAGTAATTTTCAAGGTACCTCATAATCTTGAACTTGGAAGAACTTTGTGACAGTTTCTGTGACACTGCTTCATTTGAAAAGGTCACAATCTTCCCTCATGTCTACAGTTTTGGAAATTGCTCAGTTGTTTCCTTTGGTAGGGCAGTTGTTTTTCAAAGAGCTACTCAATAGTTTTCCAAATTGCTGTTAAAATTTAATTCACTTAAGGATAATTGACTTTAAGCATTTTTCAGAAGAGAAAGAAACAAACAAAAGAAAAGCTAGATGGTACCATGACACCAAAGACAGGACTTAAACTCCCCTTTTTGCTCTTGTTTTGCCCTTTAAAGCTCTAAATATAGTGTAGAACTAGGAGAAATCATTACTTTGTTTTCCAGCAGAAATACTGAAACTGTAAATAAGAAAAGATCCCTACTCCACTGATCTAAGATCATCTACCAAATTGTGCCTAGCAGGAACCATCTGCACAAGGGACTGGGGAAATAGACCACTTACTTAAGCACTAGAAACACTAAAACAAAACCCCAAATCCTGGACTTGTCATTTAAAAAGATTGAGGAGATGCTGAACAAAGACTGTCCAATGTATGAAATGAATAAGAAATCTGAGAGGAACTGTACAACCTCTTATATATTGCACCTAGTCCTACCTTACATCTTGCATCTAAATATGAAAATTTGAAAAGATTGTATAAATACAATAATAGCTATATATATTCACTTTCTATGAAAAAGATATAGATCTCATATATAGCATATCATATTGAGAGAAACATTGTTTAACAGAAACATAATTTGACTTAAGCATATCTATTATTTTAGTTAAAATCAGTACCATATCAACACTATGAACTAGCTAAATACATTCATCCTGGGAGAGTGTGTCCAAAAAAACTTCGAACACAATTGCCTTACTTAATGGCGGCATGTACAACTGACTGCAAAAAGAAAAGAGAAAGAAAAAAAATTAAATGAGGACATGTACTGGTTTTTCCTATTGAGTTCCACTTCTCTTCCCTCCAGTGTACTTTCCTTTTATCTATCAGAAATCTGAATAATAGTTTCTCCTACCTGTTCTGTATTTTCATTTCCTCGAACTAATTTACTTCATCCACAGATAAAAATGAAAATTTGTTTGTATTTCCCATCAGATTTGTTACTGATTATTGCCAAGTTCCTATTGAGAAGAATTTATGATTTCTTATATTCTATTCAACATGTTCCTTTACATGTACAGTTTCCTTAAATGTGTTTTCTTTAATATTAATTTATCTCTAATTTAATTTTCTCTTATGTGTTTTAACATTCCATCCTTTATTTGGGATGCATGTTGCTTCATTCAGTTTTGCAATATTTTACATCTTCTTGACCTCTTTGATCTAATTCCCTCACCCTTTTTTTTCCTCTTGTGCTCCTCATTGTCATTTTACTGCTCTTTTCACCACTTCATTTTTTTCCCTTTTTAATTTCTAGGATGATTTCTCCAGCAGCTATGCTCTCTCAATTACTCAATTACATACTCCCTTTTACATTTTTTTCCTTCTTCCAGTACCCCTCCTGGGTTCTACCTCCCCTGATGCTGCAGAAAGATACAAGGTCTTTCCTGTCTGTAAAAGACAATGCTCTCCTGCCTGTGTTTTAAACTGGGAAGAGGACATCTGCCTAAAGATGACATCATTCCTTAGCTCTCCAAGGAAAGTGGTGTGGAGATTCATCAAAGAGCTGGCAGGTATCTTGTCTCCTTTACTCCAATGTTTTATCCATTGCCGTAGCAACAAGCATGGGAAGGAGCACACTGATTCCTGGCCAAGCCTGTTTTCTTCTCTCCAGCTTTCCTTAAGTTTATGTGTGCCCTGACAGGAATAAACCTAAACCAGGGGTTTCTTGTCTGCAGTTGATCTCCACCTGAAGAAGTCTTCACTTGTTGCCCTGTGTGCCCTTTGAGGTCTCAAGGTGATGTTTCCCAGGAAGGATCACTGATTTTTGGAAAACTCTTGAGGAAGGAAGGGGAAAGGATTCTATTCTATGAATTGACTTATGGAAAAGAATGGATGCTGGAATGACTACAATAGTTCTTTTCATAAAGTTGATATTAAGGATTTTAATATACAGCACTGGTTTCTTGACTTCCTATGAAATCTTATGTTCCAGGTCTTGTAAGCAAAAATTTTCAGATAACTGCAGGAGTGGTGCCAACATGTGTGTAGGACAGACAGGGTCAACAGTAATAAAATAAATCATGGGGGGCTTACAGCAGAAGACAGATAATATGTAAAACAGATGTTCCAACCTCAGCCAGGAGAGACAATTGAACATGAGCTTAATGTAGCCTAGTCTAAGATAGGTTTTCTGAACTATAGTCTCTGTTGATACATAGAGTATACATACAGTACACATATGTGCAGTATTTCTGGTATCAGTGGAACAAAAATCTGGATACTCAGAACTCCACAGCTCTATAAATAATACCAATCAATGTTGGAAGTGGCTTGGAGAATATCTATATATTGAACTTTAAATAGTTAAAATGAAGTATACAATGATTGCAGTGACAATCCATTTAATTTAGTTCTGATAAATTTAAAAAAATGGAAAAATAATGAAGAAGAAAAAAATTTGTTCATTTAAATGTAAAATGAATAGCAGAATGTCTGATTTCCTTCTTGAGCACCCACTCTACCTCTACCTAACAGGGGAGCATGCCTGAAGAGATTCTGGATAGATGAGTTGTTAAATGTTCAGTGTTTCGTTTCTCTTTTGAAAGAAGTCTTAGGTGGTATTTATGATTGGATGATGTAGGTACTTGTCACTTACTACCCTATGGCAGTATGAGACCTCACAACTTCTGGTTCAGCAATTCTGTGTTTTATTCAGTAAAGAGATGAGATGGAACACCACTTCCCACTTATTTCCCACCTTGGCAACTATTTTCCTAAGTTTCACTAAATCTAGTAGGCAGAACACACCAATTGTTTTCTATGTTACCAGCCTTGATAGAATTTTCCTTCCCTAAAACACGTAGGGTTTTTTTTTGGTTGGTTCTTTTTTTGTTGCTCTGGTTGGGTTGTTGGTTGGTCCTTGGGAGTTTTTGCCAGCCCAACCTACCTTTTGTGCTTTGGGCATGTCGGTGTGGCGCTGGGCGCGTACGGACCGCGCGGATTTGGGCGGTTTTATTGGAGCACAATACATCTCCAGCCTCCTCAGGTCACAGCTCTGGAAGCAGCATTCATCCACTATTCCCTTGTGGTGCAAGCGTCTACTGCTGGATCCATACCCCGTGGGCTTGCCTGTTCAAAACACAAAGGGGAAGTTTTTAGGTTAGAAAGGAAATGCAAAGGTCTCAGGAGCAGTCATATTATTGAGGTGTATTATGTTAACTGAATCACCAATGGCCATTGTAGAGGCTGCCTGTGTGTATCTATTCTAAGACCCTGTTCTCAGACACCCCTTTGGATATTCCTTTCCAGATATTCCTGGAAATGGACAGTTTTGATCTCCATGTGTGGTTGCTATTTAAACATTTGAGCGAATCTATGCCTTCTTAGAAAAGTATTATTAAAATATTTTATCGAGCTGCATTAGCTTCAAAATTAGAGAGGGAAGACACTGAAATCTGACATTTGGACAGGAAAATTACCTTTTAGCTTTTGCATGAAAACATTGTTGAGCTAGCTGAGGTAGCTGGCGTGTAAATACCATAGATCACGACTGTGTTGTAGGCAAGTATTTCCTAGTAAAAAAGGCTACACTGAGGTACTGTGTGCAGTCAGAGTGTGTTCCAAAGGGAAATACTGTGTGCCACTGCACAGGCTGTAAGGTCTGCCAGCTCAAAAGTGGGAAGCTGGAATCAAAGTTACAAAGTAACCGATCAAATAGGAAGGTTGATGGAACAGATAAAAGTGGAAGATTTTTATATTCCATAGATTTGAACAAGATAAGAAATGGGACTGATATCACATGGCTTTCCTGTGGTTGCATTTGTGCCAGCCATCTATGGAAAACACTTAATTGGCAAATATTTTGCATTTTTCACTCAGCTCCAGTAAAGGCCAATATTTTCATTCATAAAACTCTTACACGCTTATATTTTTTTGTCTTTTTTTCCTCCTGTGGCTTATGATTTCCTTAGTAACTGCTGAATTCTCTGTTGTCCTACACAGAGATTAAAGACCCATTATTTCCTGGGATTGTTTGTACACAACCAAGTTGGATATGCAGTTGCCCTGTTATGACTAACTAGAAATGAAGGAACTGTAAATTCACAAAAAGTAAGTAGTTTCTTACTACATCTATTTTAAAATTCTGATAGAATTTGATTTTAGACAGTAAAATTCTGAAAAGATTAAGTGTTTTGTTTTGACATTTTCAGCATTAAATGTTTCCACTTACAGAATGATCCACATTGGTTAAGAAATGAAAAATATGGAAAAAAAAGGCAAGCATGCCAAGAGCCAAAACATGAAGTAACTCAATTCAGTCAGCTCTACCAATTTCTTTTCTTGCCTTTTTTTTTTTCTCTTCTCCTTCTCAGTTATATCACTGAGACCAAAAATCTGTTATTCACAGAGTTTGGCAGGAGTTTACATTTCAAGAATTACTCAAGTTAAATAAAAGTTAAGGATAACAAAAAAGATGAATATTCAGTTTCTCTTTGGGAACTTATTGCCCCCAATGCTGAAACAGCAAAGTCTAGGTTGATATCCCCTTGTTTGTCCTGCAGCTGTCAGTTTGAAAAGACAACACAACATTTTACAGTTCCCTGTGATTTAAACATGTATCCACTGATGAAGAACCTTTGAGGCCTTGGAATATTACCAAATTAAAAGACCTCTAGTGGTACAGTGTGTTTCACATTTTAACCAGCAATTCAGCCAGTTAAGAACTAACGATCCCTATGAGCTTTATAAACCCAGGAAACAGGGGTTTTAAACGTCTTTTTTACCCCCGGGGACCATAAATTAAAGAAAAAGAAAAACATGCTTACTTAGTATATTGCAATCCACTGGAGGCCTCTATATCGTACATTGCCTGCTAAATTATTTGTTTCATAAAACTAAACAGTAGAGCAAGCCAGGAGTAGATTACAGTAATATTTTGGTTTGCATCTGTGTGTGTTGTTTTATGTGTATCATTGAAAAGTACTACAAATACTAAGATGGGGAGTTTGGTTTGGTTTTTTTGTTTGTTTTTTTTCCCCCTAGATTATTTTCCCTCACTGAATTGTAAAATGAAAACTTTTCCCAGGAGATTTTTCCTGAAGCTTTTCCCTGGAGATTTTTCCTGATATCTGCCAATCTGGTTGTTTTAGCTTAATACTTTTAAAATTGAGCACTCCTGATAAAGTGTGTAGTGTCATTACTTTGCAGTATACCCTCAGCTGTGGGTCTTATGCCACATATGGTCTTGTTCCCATTTAAAGCAGGGAAAGGTAAATTCTGTTCCTGGATATGCAGGTGCCAGATGAACTGTAGGTACAAGAACTGGTTAGTTAACCTTCCTTTTCTTTTATCAGTCTGTCCATTTTTCATAAGAAGTAAACCCTAAAAACTTCTGCTCAAGTTATTTTACCCTTCCATGTCCATATTTAATGATTTATAAAGTTGATAAAGTACCTTTACTAACCTATTCCTCCTGCCTGCTTTATTTAGTAATCAGTAGCAACATTTTTCCACACCATATAAATATGCATAAATAGTTAATTCAAATCCTGAATCCTGGAATCTTTCTGGTGAAAATCTCAGAGTACTTCAGAATCATTTTTAGAGTAGCCAGACCAAAGACATCTACGTATTTTTCTTACAGAATAATAATTTTATAAATGACTATATAACATCTAATAGCTCTTCTAAAAGCTTGTATGGGACTGTAACAAGATGGGAATGGAATCTTTATCACACCAGTGATGATTTCATAATGAAACATGACATTAACTTATTTGTAGGCTTAAATATTCGTGCATCATATGGCATAATAAATACTCATCCTTTATATAGAGATAACATTAGCATTGGGAAGTCGGAATTTTTTATTCCAATAAATGTTTTCCCAAGGCTTTCAGAAGTCCAAAGCAATCAAGTATACTTAAAATTTGTGTGATACAGAAAGTGATATTACCTAAAGTGCTGTACAACAGAGAGAGCAAATTAACAGAAAAAAGATTCCTTTCCAGTATCATGATCCACAATCATAATTGAGAAGTATTTGATGACTAAAGTAATTTTTAAGCAATAGATTTTAAATTGCTGCTGACCTCTTAAGTGCTGCAGTATACCAAGATGCTATCACAGAGGAAGATGAGATAAAGAATTACAAGGAGATACCACCACTTCTAGAGATGTTATCACTGTTTAGCCCATCTGTTCTGGCAGGACTTGCAGGGTCAGATGGTCCCAGTTCATCAAGTTAACAAAGTATGCACTTAGATCTAGGCAAACGTTCAAGCTCCTACGTGGTGCGTTGGATTAAATCACATATTAAACAGTGAGCTCTCCTGCACAGGGACTGATATAACTAAGCACTTCAGTTGCTTTTTAGACAAGAGTCCATACTGGTAAATAAATGGCAGGTGGTTCTGCATTTTTAATATAATTTGTACTCCTTATTTTTGTTTTAATAGTATTGCCTTCAGTATGGACTGCACCTTTTGTGTCACTATACTGAGCCCACACAGTTCTTTCTCATCTTTCTGACATAATTTGAGTGCTGCCTCCAGCTGTTATCAAAAGTTCCTTCTATTTATTCAACCTTCAAAGTGCTGCCTGTGGACATACAACAGTCCTAGGCATTCCTTTTTGCTGATGTACACTAATTTCCTTGGAGGTTTCTTTCCTTTTTTGTCAATGGCTAGCTCAAAAGAATTTCATATCATGTAGGTCAAAATTTTCTTAATAGATATTTGGCTCTTATTTAATCTACTTTATCAAATCTGTGGATGTCTCCTTTGGTGCACAACAAGATACAAAGTCCAGTCACAGTGATGTCTCCTGAAAGCAGTCCAAGGTATCAGATTCCAATAGTTCAACAGCTGGCTTCTCCACTAACAACACTTCCCTTTAAATGATGCAAAGGCAGTGGAGTAATTCAGCAGGACTTGTTTACACTTGGTTTCTTTCTGTTCTTCCTCATCCCACCAAAATATCCTCCTGTTGCTGCCACTGGATCTGTTCTACCACTGGTTTCAATGTGAGAAGGACTGGTGTAGGTGGATACAGAAGTTTCAAATGTCAAATTATCTAGGCATTCTGTGTAGAACCATAATCTGCTGTTGTAGTATTAAAATCAGAAATCACATGAGAAGTAGCCCAGGATAAATGCAATCTAGGACTCTAGAAAAGAACTGGGGTTATGTGTTCTGGAACATTTATGTGACTTTGTATTGGCTGTTGTGTCTTTTTAGCCAAGCAGTAGAACTTGACTGGCATGTAGACTGTAATTCAGAAATACATCATAAATCTGAAAAACTGCACTTAATCCTAATCTAGTATTAGAGTCAATCTTCAACTGCAGCTTTTAAAGAATGGTGAAAGGCCATTGACCTATTAGAGTGCTGTAGTCTTGTACCAAGAAACTCAAAATGTTTCCATCAAAACATTGGGGTCAGGTGCAGTTTGGAAGCATTGACAGCAGCTTACAGCATCAGGAGGTATGGGAGCATCCTGTAAGGCAGCAGGTCAGTCAGTCAGGATTTTCCTCTGGCCTGAACAACAGGCTGAGAGTTTGTGTTGCTGTATTATAGCAGACTAATTGAATAAGAACCTCCTGTGATCCAGACTGGGAGCTGGTGGTTGGAGAGGTTTTGAGTTGCATGTGCTGTGTGCCTTATGGTGGCACAAAAGGCTAGGGATGCTAAGCTTGAGATTCATCTTGCTCATCTTTGGTCTCTGATAATTAGGGATCTAGTTTAAGATTGTGGTATCAACAGGCAGCTGTGTATTAACAGTGAATTTTTCCTTATTGAATGCTTTGCTTAATATTAAATTTATTCTTGTCCTCTGCAGGAAAGATTGTTCTTTCATCAGCTACAGATAAAGCTAATTGATCTAGCCTTAGCATACATGCACAGATTCTTCTAGGAAACTGAACTCAAGGAAAATGAATTAAATTAAAAATTATTTGTCCTAAATCACAGAATGTATGCACCTGGTGGAGTGCAAAGCTGTTCTCTTTCATTTCCAATTTAACAATTAAATATGACAAATTGTCCTAAAGAACATGCCAGCCAGTGTGCTGTTTAATTATGTATCTCTGTATCTCTTTGGCTAAATTCTGTATGTTAGTCTAGTACTGT